TCGTCCAGGTTCTGCTTGGCTCAGACAGCTGCTCTTTGGTGTCGCCGAGCTCCATCTCCAGCTTCCTGCGCTGCTTCTCCAACTCTCCACGGTTCTGGAGTGGTGGGCAAGAAACAAATTTAATCTTTACATACTCACATTACTCACACTCACTGTCCGGTTTATAGTCTGTTGTTCCCAGACTTCCGAGGGTTAGACGTGCTTGCACAGGACTATACGAGAGCACAGACCACATTCTCTTTCAGCACAACTCACAAGAAACAAAACTGGAAGGACATGTCAACATGAAATATCAGAACAGCTATCACCAGCCATGAATATAAAATTATGTCAAATTTGAATGTCTTTCATGTCATGCCAATCACTGCCACAAGCTAGAACATACAGTAGATGTCAGTGAGATTCCCTGTGATTTTATCTTGTTTAGAAAATGTAACGTCTGCTTGTTTGGTGACATGTGCATACATGAGCTCGAAGCACTTATTGTACATTTTGCAGAATGCCCTGTTTTTATTTTGTACTGTTGATTCCAGTACATCAGTCCAGGCCTCACCTTCTCCTCTCTGGTCAGCCTGTCCTCAATGTCCTTGCTCATGGCCTCCTGTTTGTTCTTGATCTTGGACAGTTGCTTGGCCTTATCCTCCTCCTCTGCCAGGGCCTGGGCCAGTTCAGACATACGGTCCTCAAGACTCTTCTTCTCCTTGGACAGCTGAGGAGGGAAACACAAGCAAACATTCAAACAAATATTAAATTGCAGTCCAAACACAAAACAACACCCCCCTCCAACAAATAATTTCTTCACTTGAATACTCCACAATTACAATCATGAATGAATAGTCCACAGCTACCTGTATGCATTAGCTACCTAGACAAGTTCTTATGCATGTATAATTTGTTGTTTCTGACTAGTATGAGTTATATTTTGTTTTACGAGTTGTGTATTTTAATGTTAGCGTTACCAGGAACTACGGAAAAACAGGGTTTTGCCCTGAGTGTGTATCTCACGGTAAAATAAATAAATGAAATCAAAAATGAAATGAAATACAACTGTTACGATTTTGAGGGCTTCCTTAGTGCTCAGATGTTCTCAAAACATAGTTACGAGAAAAACATTCTGCAAAATATTCCCGAAATGTTCAAAATTACTGCTGCAACTTTTTTTATCACAGTAAAGTTGGTTTAGCTGGTTTCCCACCTTCTGGTTGTTGTCATCCACGCATGCCAGGTCTTCCTCCAGTTTCTTGATCTTGGAGTCAGCAGACACCTTCTCCAGCTGCAGCTTCTGCCGGGCAGCTTCTTCTTCCTCCAGTCTAGGGTTAAAAAATGCAACAATTTGTCAGCCTGAACATAAAGAACTTAAAGAGATTAATCCTCAGGTACCTACTTAAATATGGTAAACCTGACAGCTACATTGCCAAAACTCAAGGAGATTCCCAATACAAATGTCAGACAACAGATATTATAGTGCCACAGAGAAAGCATACTACAGTCATTTGGCTTTCTTGTTAAGCTACAGACCAGATTGTATTCTATTATCTCTATTATGATACCCTTTAGCCTAAATATGGCTAGTCTTCCAGGGTTCATACAAAAATAAAAACATGTATATAGCAAATAACATGGTAAAAGAACACACATATGGCACAAAATGATATTTACATCATACACAAACGAAAGAAACATGATGAACAAACTAGTCACAGAGAATCTGATACATTTTTAAAAAAATATAGTTTGTACACTCATTGTTCTTCCAGGGTTCATACATTATACATGTATAAAAATGTACATTTAACATATAACATGGTAAAATAACACACATACGGCACAAAAAATACAAGTGAAAATATTATAATGTACAAACTAATGCCAGAGAAGACAATGTTTTCAGACTCACTGTTCCTCCAGGTCCTGGATGTTGAGCTGCATCTTCTTCTTCTCCTGCAGCAGGCCGGTGTTGCGCTCTTCCTCCTCCTCAATACGGGACTCCAGGTCATGCAGGATCTCCTCCAGCTCCTGTTTCTTGGCGGACAGACGGGCCCTCATCTCCTCAGCCTCCTGACACAGTTCTGTCTCCGCCTGAAGCTGCTCAGCCAAGATGCTCTTCTCTTCCAGCAGCTAAATAACAAAAACACCACACGATTTAATCAAAGTTTAAACTCACTAAATGTGATACTATCGTGTAAGTTCACCCTCACTACTGAGGAAGAAGACCCGAGTGACTGGTCCAAAGCTCTAGGTGAGAACATTTCCCTTTTGTGTTGGAACAAAAGTTTTACCTTTACTACTTACTTTTCAACATCGCTAAATGTAAATAGGAGCAACATCTGGATGCTTCCATCTATTATAGTAGCAAACCGAACTCACCCACATCTGCTGAGTAACTGTACTGACGCATTACTGTTCATATCTAGCTTGAATGTTTTGAACATTTCACCTCATTAAAAAAATATTTTTCTAAACCACAACAGCCACAAGACCTTAAGTCTGAATACCCACCTGTTCCTGTCTTTAGTGAGCCAAATTGGTTCACAGTAACTTTCACTTTTTACTTCTTAAAGACCTACCTGGCTCTGCTTGCGCTCCATCTCCACCATGTCCTGCTCCTTCTTGGTCAGCACATCCTTCACCTTCATGAGCTCAGACTCCTTCTGGACCAGCTCATCCTCCTGGCGAGTCACCTGCAGCAGGGGCTTCACCTGGGGACGGGAGGGGGGCACAGACAAGACACCGTTAGCTTCTGGTCTGGATCTGTGTCTGTATAGCTGGTGTACCCACCCATTAGTCATTTAGTGTAACATACCAGCTTATGTATCAGTATAGCTGGTGTAACCACCCATTAGTGTAACACACCAGCTTCTGTACGTTTATCTGTATCCGTATAGCTGGTGAAAGTACCCTTTAGTGTAACACACCAGCTTCTGTATCTGTATCTGTATAGCTGGTTGTGCAGGTATTTCTGATGTGCACCTGTACCTAACCTCTACCAGTACATGTATTGGGTTTATTTATACATGTAGGTGTATGTGGATTTTTATTTGCTGTTATCAACTATGTGAATCATAAAAGAAATAATAGCAGTTTTTCGTAAGATCTTATTAATTGACTTTTAAACAGTGCTCCATTCTGACATTTCCTCTATCTGTGGTAAATTACAATTGTTGATTGACTGTGTGATCTTAAGTAACCTACAGTAACCTCAAGTCACCTTCAGTTACATTCACATCACCAACATACCCAATACAGAGCATCAACATTCCTCTTTTCTTACAGATATTTTATTGGATCAAACTGGCATGTAGTTAAAGATCTTTCCAAAGCCACAGTGGAATGGTTAGGCCATGCAAAAATAAACAGCACTGCCTAATACAGACAGAAATATTTGTCTAGCCAGAGACACTGGTCCGTGTAAAGAAATCCTAGCCAAGATGACGATCATCTACTAAATATGACATGTTCCTTGGGGACTCATACTCCACAGTTACTGCACACTGAAATGAAATGTTACAATCCACAGTTACAATGAAGACCTGATATTTGGTTCTCATGGCATTTCTTTTCACAGGATACCCTACAGATTCTACATGAAAAAGAAGACACTGGTTACCCATATGACAGTCAGTTCTCGGCGATAACACTTGTTGCAGACAAACTTCATGTTACCATCACACGGGACCGTCGGCATCTTGTTACATCTGTTCCCCACTCACACCATATCGCAACTTGCCGCTAGACCCAACGGTGCACTGATCTACACAAAACTTTGTCATCCCTTCCGCATTTCTGCCGGCCGCCACACTTACTGGGGCAGCGGAGCATAGGTTATGTCACGTCTCAACTCCAACACAGGACGATGTCAAAAATGGACAGGCCATAAACTGACCCCTCCCAAAACGGCCACTTTTGTCTGTCATTCCTGCTTTGAAAATTCCGCTTTCGTACAGATTTATTCCAGTGATGTCTTTTCGGAATGGTGAGTGCCTAATGGTTTGGAGTATGTGTGATGTGGATGTATCTCTGTAGGGGGTCATCAGTAAAGGAGAGGCTGTCTACATGGGTGCAGGTCATGGTGATACAGGAGGCATGCCAAAGTACACATGCCCAGAATGCCAGCTACATGTACAGTAAAAACCATACATTTTCTTCTCTTCAAAATTGTGGAACTGTAAACGTGTGCATATTCCAACTTAAACTAATACATAAATTAGTTTTTCTTCCCAAAGAACCGCATTATTTTTTCCAACAACAGTACCCTGGCATCATTCTGATCTTTTTTTTTCTGTCAACTATCTCAAAGCTTCCAAGGACATGTATATTTAGTATGAACTACCGGCCAAACAATTCCATTCTTTATGGACTGGTAGAAGGTATTACATAACATTCTGAATATCTGATTACTCAAACTTTTTTAGCTCTAATAAACTTGAGGTTGGAGATTGGAAGACCTCAAGAAAAATAAACAAAAAGCTTGATATTACAGACATTTCCCTTTTGTCATGTTGTCATCACAGTCCGCTTTCTAAGGCAAACTGTAACTGTGCAAGTTAGGCCATACAAATTCAATTCCTTGGTTCTGGGATTTTTTTGAAAAAAAAAAGAAGATGAAACAGTTATTCTATTTCTGCAAGTGGTAATAGAACCAAATGCTGCCACAGGAACCAATATATTTCAAACAATAAATTTTCAATTTAAAATTATTATTGACTAACAGAAACCCTGTAACAACAAGGAAGAAGTTCTTTAACAGTTGGTTGCAAAATATGACCATACTGGGGTTTTCTATATACCCCAATGTACAATGGTGATGACAGTGTTACCTTAGTGAAGAGCCTCCACCATTGCCAGTTGCGCAGCTTGAGGTACGCGGCACAGTTACGCTGGATGATCCTGATGGCGCTCAGCTGCTGAGTACGCCTGTGGTAGTTTCTGTGAGGTAAGGGACAAGTGGTGCTGGTCAGAAAAACTTCCACAGGTAACTTGTTCCTAGCATGAAAGTTCATCTGAGTTGGTAAAATACATGAAGAAAATTAAACTGTACTACAACTAAAAAAAAACTTCTGGTGAGTGAATTTTTTTAAGTTGGAGAACAGTTTAATTTTCTTCATGTAACTTGTTCCTGTTCACCCAAAATTAGCCTTATGTGTCACTTGATGCAGGAAGGCACTTTTTTAAACTGCTGTTTCTGCTTAGTTGTACACAAACAGAAGTCCTTCAAGTCATTTAATGATGTCAGGTCATATCTTATTGTCTCTGTCTTCTGGTATTTAAATCATGTCAGGTGTGGTCTATATACAAGTTGACATGTTAAAACTTTGCAACTGAGTTGTTGCTGATATCATCAAAAGTTCATTTAGAGTACAACAGGTACACAGAAATTCTATTATCTTCTTCCACATGGAGAAGAAGTTCCTGTGGTGAGAGGGAGAGTCCTAAACAGGAAGTGTCTGGGTCAAGAGGAGCAGGCATTCCTGGTGTTACTACAGAGGAAATCTGGTGGAACCCTCCTTCTGCAGCCCCCACATTCCCCCAGCATTCCTGAGGACTGTGCTTATGTGTTAGCCACACATTCCTCACAGCTGGCCTGTAGGGGAAACCTCCTCACATTCCCAACTTTTGTCCAGCCTAATTTAGTGTCCCACTGTAAGTGTGCCAAGCCAATGTTCTGGACTATTAGTTCCAAACTTTCCAGATTCTGTTACAACTGAGTGTGTGTTACATCTGATACTTTAAGCCAAAGGAGTGAAGTATTGTTTCTTTTGCATTGTAAAAGTGTATTATTTATTTAGATCATATGAAGAAACAACCAGACATCATTCTTTAAATTACATTATCAAGCATATCAAAGTGGTACTTTTGACTATCCATGAGGGAATAAATGTTAACTGTAAATTTACCACAGGTGATTTTATAATCTCAGCTTTCTAACATGACAGGTTGGGTATAGGGCAGAAATATTGGGACAGTTCACTCTCTCCTGTATATTTTAATCTGTAACTCAAATTTCACAGGATGTAAATGTTTAAATAATCTCAAACCTCTTCAAAATATTTATCTGATGCCTTCCTTAGTTCAAGGAAGTCAAAGATCATATCATGATGCTGTTAACAGCAGCTTATCTATACAAACCTACCTATCACTTGGAAGTAACAGAAAACAATGAGACAGTATACTAACGTTCAAAAAGTTTTTAGTTTAAAACATGACTAAAATGCTATTATCACTACCAGTACTACCACAGTACATTGATGAAGGTTAGGCATCAAGGTTGATAGTATTTAATAATAATTAATATAGGACAAATCTCTACTACTGGATAAATTACGGAGATTACGGAATTACGGAGATTTGAGTGACATCTGTCACTCTTCTTCAGCGTCACCAAATGGAGCCAAGACACATACATTTTGTACATGGCTACTTTGTTTGTAATAAAGATCCAGGAATTCTCATTCTCAGGATCCAGGAGGTAAACTCTATATGAAGATAAACCTAAAATAGCTACTTGTGCAACCTTCCCTATATGTATAGCAGGTAATATATGCTTACCTCCTGGCGATGAGCCCACGGCAGGCAGCCTGGAACTGTATGATGATGTCGGTTAGCTTGATGTCTCGCTCCTCCTCCAGGTGAGCCAGTACGCCCGCGCGGAAGAAGATCTTACTCTGGCCGATCCTGTACAGGTTGTGGTCCAGCTCCAGGGCCTCGATCTGCAGGGAGAGAGGGAAGGGATGGAGGTTGGTTAAAACACGCAAATCTGGCTGTGCCATGAACTGCTGAAACTGTTTCTGGGGCCATACATAAAGGGGATGGGCTTCCTTTTTCATGGAGGCAACTTGGAGATTTTTCTTTAAGACAACGTAGACTTTCTAATCTTGTATAGCTTTTTACAAGTACATGTATATTTTTTGTTTGGCTGAAGTACCCGAGTTGTGACCTGACATGTTAATATTTTAGGGGGACTGGCAAAAAGATCACATGATAATCAACACAATACTGAGAATTCTAGCTACTGGGATGATTTTTTCTGAGCAAGTTTTATGATTTACTGTTTGATATGACTCCGCTGGACAATGTGACTCAACAAGAGTTATACTCTTTTATTTATTTATTGGTGTAACTTCATGCAAGTTTTATTTGTTGTCAATAACTAAAACACAACAATCCTCACTGCTTGTTACCTTACTGTTGGTTCTAGTCTTGACTTCCCTTTCAGAACGGACAATTATTTGGGTATACATTAAGAATAAATTGTTAGCCAAATTATTTCATCAGGTGGTTCAGTAAGTGTCAATTATAAGAAGGGCTAGTCTCATTAACAGCTGTGGTATCTCCCTATTATACCACTGGCCTACATTCACTCTCACACACACACAGTGAAGACATGCGTGTCAGCACGGGTGATTTGGCAACAGTCCTTAAACATTCCGGTATTTCAGGCAGGTTTAGTTTCGTGCCGTACGCACCACCAGATCTAGACGGGACTCACCATCATCCGACAGGCCGTCTTGGCATCCATGAATTCCTTGTCCACGTTGGACGACTTAGACTTATATACACACAGGCACATATACACACACGTGTGGGTTCAATCAATCATCCATAATCATCATCAATAACAAGATGTGCAATCAATTATTTTATATGTCATGCAGGACAAATGCCGCTCCTCTCTGGATAAGCAATATCTATTTGTGCAATGAACTCATCATGATATCCAAATTCACAGCATCACAACACAAGGTACATAAACATGCGCACCCAACAAACAAGAAATGGAAAGAGTTCACAAATGCTGTCCATCACACGAACAAATATATAATTGCAGGCATTGCACTACCCATGCAAACAGGCCGATAGAGAAAAGAGATAAGAAGAACCTACCATCTTTTGGCAAGCTTTCTTTGCGTCCATGAAGCCCTTGGTGATGACATTGGGAGTCAGGATCTCATATCTAGTACGGAGACAAATTTAATTATTAACGACCAAAAGAATATCTATCCCACACCATCATCCTCATTTCATTTTGAAACTGATATTTTGACACACGTCATTTTACATAAATTGAAAGGAATTCAGTTGCCATTGTCTGTCACAAAGGACATGCTTCATATTCTATCGTATGGTAGGTGTTAGTTTTGTCAGAACTTTCACAGACATACTTGACTTATGATTTAATTAGATTTCCCAAATTCCATGCGTCTTTCGCAATGTAAGGTCCCTAGTTTTGTTTTTCTTTAGATTGTACGCTTGTGCCAGCTGTAGTCAGCTAGGTTTCTCACCTTGTCCCTTCACATTCATTGTGACATTGTACAAACAACCTGGACATTCTTCTACTAGAAATTTGTTATGAGTAGATGCCAAAAATGTTGGACCTTGACCTTCAAAGGCAGCGTAGTGTAGGCGTGTACCCCGCTGTTTTCGGCGAGCGAGACCCACCTCTGTTTGAACTCCTGGAACACGATTCTGTTGGGGAAGCCTTGGCGACATATCCTGATGCCTTCCAGCACACCGTTGCAGCGCAGCTGGTCCAGAACAAGGTGGGACTCGATCTTTCCAGCCTGGACAAAAACAGGAGCGGTTCAAATTATATCAAAAGGTTGATGTGTTGGCGATGGTTAGACATCCGGGTAATAGACGCCAAGAAACAGTTACTCAAGGAACTGGATATGATTTTGGAAACGGTCAAAATAATATCCAGTTGCTTGGGTAACTATTTTTTGGCAAAAGGTTGGTGGTTTAGGGATTAGTAGTGACATTACCGGTGAACATAACTGGTGTCCCTGAGAGGTGTCCATCTCTTAATTACCTGTTCTTCTCTCCTTCAAAGGATGATACATAATACACAGCAATTATGATGCACCAATGTCAAAGCAATCCAAAAACAGACAGGCATCAGAGAAGTACAGCGAAACTTCAGTTCAGATTTTACTATTTTCACAGAGACAAGAATGAGTTGGCAATGAAGACTTTACGGTAGAATTTGATTCCTATATGGAGTCTGACCCCCAATCTGATAAACAGGTTGTAACCTCTTCTCAATAACCCACACGACTGGTTGATATTACCAACTGGTTAACGTGACCCACCTTCTTCTCATAGTTGGGAATGATACACCTGACGAAGTTGGGGTTGGTGTTTCGCAGCACCTCCATCAGCTTGGCCAGCTGCTCCTTGTACAGCTGCCCCACGGTACGGAACATGCCCTTCCTGATGCGGGACTGTCCGAAGGCGGTGTCTGCTGCCTGGGCCTCACTCATACTGATGATGCCGGTGGCTATGGGTTTAACACAAAACCTCAAGTCAGTCAAGCAATACTTCACAAGCTGGATTTTATATGTGCCATCTCACACACCTTCTGACCTTCGAATTTTCTTTCTTGCTGTATTGAAATCTTCTTACTGCCAAATAAATGTGTACCTTACACCAAAAGAAAGTATCTGAGTAATATCAGTACCGTATCAATTATTTTCTGTTTTGAACACAAAACTGTCCAGACACTGCCTATGATTTTCTAATTTTGACGTGTAAAAATGAATTAACGTCTGCTTCAAGTTGATCTTTATTTGTGACTGAACAAAACTTCTGTATAGGTGTGTGATAAAACAGGAAAATGCGTGTGGAGATGAAAGAAAGAAAGAAGGAGCAAAGAAGAAAGCATGACACAAGAGAATAAAGGGTGAGGTTGGTGAAAGTTGGAGTACCTTGGTTGAGAGGAACACCAAATCTTCTCGCGGTGAGACCAACAGATGGAAAATAGACAGACACACTCTACCCAAGAAACAGAGATGGACAGATGGAAAGAACAGAAAAAAGGATGCTGAAGAATATTGATGTGATGTTTGCATTACTGTTGCTTTGCTTCTGCAATGTCTTTTATTCTTTAAAACAGGAAATTATTGTTTTACCAATGTGTCAAGAGCTTGTAATGTGCATGAAAAAATACAGAAAGCTGTAGCAATTTTTTTTCTGACGGACTAAAACTATAAAGCATCTACTTGTAAACATACTGCCTGCACTGAAGTAGACAATGCCCTACTATGACTGATTGTTCAACCGTATTTGCAATCAAAGCGGAAATTCATTTTCAACATACCTTTACAGAATAAGACATTGATTTAATTTTGCACTTTCAAATGATCATGAATAACTACAAATGTATGCATACAAAAATTCATGATTCAACTGGCCACTGGCCAATGCATGGAACATGCCACCCTGCATCCTGCAGACAAGCCATGCTATGGTTAGGTTAAGAAGGAAGGTAGGTTAGGAGCCAACTCTCACTTCCACAAATGCATCACCTCCGTGTTTGGACCCTTTTTTAATTTTCTTGGGGTTGCCTTGTACAAAGGGATTGTCCATGAAAAAAGAGGAGCGGGGTGTAGTTAAGGCAACTGTAGAGAAAGAAAGGAGAAAAGGAAGAGAAAACTTCATACAAAACAAGCACTATACAAGTAAAGTGAAATACGAACAATCTGACTAAAACTAATCAACAAGAAAGATTTAAGGAAGAGAAAAAGCACTATTTAGGACAAAAGCATAAGTAACACAGTCTATTAAAAGTTGCACAGATAGAAGAAAATGAAAAAGAAGAAGTAAAATTTTTAGTAAAGTTCAAGTAGGAAAACAATGATTCACTTGTCATACTATATTCTTCAGAATCTTCTCTTTTGCCAGCACACGTATGCCTTGCAATGGTTTATACAACGATTCTCTCCATTGTGCCATTTTCTATAGGGAAGGTAGATAAGCTTCACTTGTCATTGATTCTCAGCTTCATTTTGCTTTATACAAAGGGACTTTTTGAACAGTTGTAGACTTACCGTCCTTCCAGATGGTGGCCATGAAGTTATCAGAAGAGTTCTTCAGCAGCTCCACACAGTTGTCATTCAGTGGGTCCATGTTCTTCATCAGCCACTGGTCAGCAAGGTAGTCCACCTGAAACAGTGCCCAGGGTCAGTTTTCTGACAAACATAGCCATGACTATCCTGACAAACTGCATACAAGATAGATGGTAAAAAATGTTCACCTTATGTGCTAATTTCTCCATGGCTGTTGGCTTTGAATGTGATAATCTAGAATTGTATCATGGTACTGTTTACTGTACTGTAATTAATGACTTGTACAAATTATCTTGAAAGTTCATGTGTTGGTAGATGTCATTATGCCTTAAGTTTAAACTGTAACACAAGATATTTTAACTTATCCAAATTTTCAACTGTACAACTCCAGTCTTTCTCAAGGAATGACACTTGTACAAATTGAGTTGTTCTCTGGATTAAGTCCATTAGAATACTATAGGTAAAGTTAAAATTTTAACTACAAAGAAGTGTTTATTCTGATTCTTATGAAACATCTCAAAAACACCAGAGAGCCAGTACCTTTCCTGCATAGTGGACCACGCTGAAGTCTGCGTTGGCCCTGAAGTCAGACTTGGCGAACTTGACGTTGGTGGAGTGGTTGGTGACCAGCTTCTCCACGTAGGACTTGTCGGTGGCCTTGGGGAACCAGCACTCTTCATCCAGCAGGGCCAGCACACCCAGGGGCTAGGGGATAATACAGCAGGGGTCAAAATCTTTTCCACACCATTCATGGTGCATAGGGCAGCACCGATCAAGTTTCAAGTTCACTGGGGAAGGAACTCGCAGGCCTGGTTAGCCCGAATTGCAGTCATACAAAATGCATTATAATAACTAAATAAAGAGACATTACAAAATCTACACATTATCCAGTCAACTTCATATTCATAATCTCTGCTTCATTGGCCTTAGGCACCCACTACAGCAGGAGGCTTGTCTACTATTCCTCTTACCCAGATGCTGAGTGCAAAGAACTCGCAACGTACCGAATGCAAGGCTAACTCGCCACCATTGGGCATTGCACTGGAGCAGGGGTGGGAAATGTTAAGACAGTATTTCCTGTCTTTGCAGAAACATCTAAATCTTTAATTCTGTGGATAGAATAGGTGAAACCTCTGTGGGGATCAAACAAAAGGGCAGGCACACCCAGGGGCTGTGGAACTGCACAGCAGGGATGGACAAACCTTATCCTGACTTTGCAGAAACGTACCTCTAAATCTCAAATTCTATGGGTAGAATAGGTGAAATCTTTGTTGTGGATCAAACAGTGCTAAAATAGCAACCCTCCTCCTGAAGGTAAAACTTTATACCAGGTACCTTCTGGGAAACAGCCTTGGGACAATACTTCGGAAAATATTTTGCAGTGTTCGTCTAACGTAAATTTTAACAAAATTTTTGGGGAAAACTCAGACATGGAGGAGGAAGTTTAGTGGGTTAGCATGGTATTATAGTGGTAACATTTTACCTGCAGCTCTCTTTGTTGACAAACGGCTCATGGTTACCTGTTGGCTCTGGGTGCTTGCTGGTCCTGTGCTTTACCCTACCATCTCACCAAGGTTATCTGGTTATTCCACCTAAGTGAACACCAAGCCTAAACCTTAAGCCCCTGCATTACCTGCCAGCTATCGAATCATGGAAGTAAAACAAACAAGGATTGACGTGACCAGGGAACAGCTGACTTGTCTTCAAATTGCTGGGATAGGAAGTCTTATCTGATTTGGCCTTCTATATTGCATTAGGAGGTAGTTCCTGTCAATTATCCTGATCGGCTAGCTTTACTGCCCAGGAAATGACTTGAATGCCTCCTATTGTACGCTATGACTTGCACGTAAGCACTTGCAGATGTGACGGAAGTCATCTTCAGGATGATGTTTCCTTCTCGGCGAGGAATTTGGTTCGAGGGTTACAGTGGTTGTCTTTCAACTCTGTACAAGAATTCTAAACAGACAACATCCGAAAATAGTTCTCTAACCACAATCCATCCACAGAAGGGTCGCCGAAGAGCAACGACAAAACTTCGGAACGTCCTGCCAAAGACGTCATGTGGCAATCTGAGCAATTTGTTACCTGTCTTCTGCAATTATTTTTCTAATAGATTCAAAACCAAGTTTTTGCTACATTAATTTCTTGTCAAATCTATTTTTATTGTGACAATAAGAATAGGGAGCAAGGTCAAGGTCAAAGGCACTCTTATTTCTCTATGCTAATTCTGTTTCAAGTTTGTTATAATTTCAGCATAATTTGTGTGTTTTATTCATTATCATTATTGCTAAAAGTAATTATTATTATTGTTGTCAATTTATTTATGCTGCTAGACTCCAGGAAGAATAGTATGGAGTTTACCACACTAATGGAGATCTTAATAAACAAACAAACCAACCTTCTCGATGAGGTCGATGGTGGGCTGGAGGTCCAGACCGAAGTCGATGAACTTCCAGTCGATGCCCTCGCGCTGGTACTCCTCCTGCTCCAGCACAAACATGGTGTGGTTGAAGAGCTGCTGCAGCTTCTCGTTTGTGTAGTTGATGCACAGCTGCTCGAAGCTGTTCAGCTGAAATCACACCCAGAAAATCTTGTTAGCAGGGACAAAAGTGCCAGATTGAAGTATGTTTCTATAAAATTATCTTTTAAATCCTTTTAAATCAGCTGCGAAAATATGTGTGCTACCACTTATAACTGCCGTCATTGCCTCCGGGGGAGGAGACATCCTTCCGCGGAAGGGCTTTGTGAGAGTTTTAGAATTTCACGTTCGCAGCGATTCCTCGCGTTTGAGTGGACGGATTCTTTTGAGACTCGGTATATGTTTTGCTATCGGGCTGCAGATGATGCACGTTCTTTTGTTTTTATTGTATATGTGTTTTCGGGCGTGAAAATGGAGCCTTTTGATGGCCCCAGAACACCCCTTGAGTGAGAAAATGGGTCGCGACCGTCGATCTTTTGCGTGTGTCAGATATAGTCGGTCTCGTCCACAGTCGCACAGAAGGGTGACGGGTCTCAATAAATTCTTAGTCTTGCGGCGCGCAACAATTGTTGTTGTGCACATACATCTTCTGTATGCGAGGCGCAACAAATGTTGTTTGGAGGGTATTTTTAGTACGCGTTCACAGGATGATCGGCAGCAACTTCCGGGTTGGTCAATGGGTCAGGGGTCAACGTACTCTTGCGCAATCTTTGTTTTGGATGTTTTCGGCGTATATTACGACTACTAACTTACAAATACCGCGGTATACGGTCTCAGACGTTCTCGGCGTGCATTTTTACCGAGGATTCAGACCTTTACTTCCCCGATTTATACGAAGAATTGGCGGAAAATGGAGGAAGTGACAATAAGGATGGCTTGCTACTTCAGCCGTTATTTTTAACGTCTGATTTAACGGTTCCGGTTGTCATTCTGAGTTTCATTACGAGTTCATTGCGGCAGATTAAATAGAATTTCATAAGTTCATGGGTACATGTTATGGGCTGCAGATGAAAATGTTGACCTGTGTTAACACAACCAGGAACGCTAACACATAAAATTCAACACCATCAACTATACATAACAAACAACATATAGAAATATACAATAAAAAGCCCGGAGGTATAAAATCTCAGATTTTACTTGTTTTTCTCTGTAAATTAAGATCAAACTAAAAAGGTTAAGATTTTTGCTGTGTTCTAGATATTCACATTGCAACTAATAGTTGCTATGATCTTAACTTTGGTCAATGGTCTTTTTCAAGTCACAGGTATGAGCTCACTGATTTGCATACTGGAGTCCATGCGTATCTAATGAGACATTCCCAACCACAATCTCAATTACCTCAGGACCACTTTCAAGTCTACACTCTGTGAGATCGTGTGACACTTACTAGTCCAGGACAACAACATTAGCTTTGATTCAACACTGACTTGTGTGTTTCTGCCAACCCACCATAATATATATAGATGGCCGACTAAGATATTGTACCTGGAAGATCTCGAAGCCAGCGATGTCCAGGATCCCGATGAAGGAGGCTCCCTGTCTGCGTGTGCGGTCCAGGGACTTGTTGATTGCCCGGACCAGCCAGCGGAACATGCGCTCGTAGACAGCCTTGGTCAGGGCCTCCACAGCAAACTCCACCTGAGCAGACATCACAAACGCCCATCAGTGATACTTGCCAGTTTCAAATGTCTGTTACAGTTATAAAAGTTTTTTTCGTGATTCTTTTGCTGGAAAATCTTTCAGACATGGGGTTCTATCTGCAGCTACTGCCATTTTCTTTTTTTCACAAGCTTACACAATGGACATGTCCTTCTACCTATCCATGTTTTTCCTTTGTAACAGACAACACTTTATCAAGGCCAGCAGCTGAACTATCAATAGATAATCAAAATCTGTTCCCAAAGAACAATGATGTTGAAAGAAAGCAGCATTGACCACCTACCTGTTCTTTGGTCTGAGCCTTATGGACGTAGTCTCTGCCGACCTTGACTCGTGGCCTGAGCAGAGCCTTGGTGAACTCGGACACAGGCAGGCCCATGAGATGGCACACCTTCTGGGCCACTGGTGGGGAGGGAGACACACAGTAAACCATGTTATAATTGGCACATCATATCTACTTCCAAACACTTTTCTGGCTTTTGATGTTACACACACACATTCCTGTGTTCAATGTGTGTCAAGTAGTGGGTCGAACTCTTGATGAATATATAAAAAATTTGATAAGCTCTTACATAATAAACTTTGTAGTAGATTCTTCTGCTGGAAAAAGTTGCTATCTTTAGGGATACTGTTTGAAACACAGTTATTCCCAAGAAGACCAAATTCTACTTCAATCCTAGAGTTGGAAACTTTTTTCATGTAACACAAAAAAAAAGGAAAAACCTACGGTAGAAAGTCAAATTTCAGAAGGAACGAAAGACAGTATGAGAAAGGCTAATTGATTATTTAGTAAATAGACTTCACCAGACTTATTTTTAAGAGTCTTACTTGGCATATTAATGAGAGGTTAAGCATTGATGATTTATGAAAGGTAAACATACCGGTGTTGTCTGGTAATATGGCCTGGTCGGTGTTGCGCTCCTGCTTGAACTGAAGGTTACCGAACATCAGCACGGCAGACACCACCCTCATGACAGCTGAGGAACAGAAGGGACAACACTTTCACTCAAAATAACACCCCATTCTTCATTTCATTCACATCCCACAAAAAACTCCACGCAGGGGATGTTGTGGTAAAAGACTGGAGCTTTCCTTAGGTCTAGGGTAAAAAAGCTGTTTCCTGTTTCCCGACCGACCCTAGAAAAAAACTGCCGACCCTAGCCTTTTTTTTGTGTGCGGACCCCTACAAGGGACATAAATTTTCAAGCTGATTGATCAATTTGAGTGATGAAATGTTGGCACAACTGGTTTTCCAACATTGACATTGAAAATATGTTCTGCATAAAGTTTCCTCATTCAAATTTTACTTTGTCAAACTGTATTTTAGTTGGATCAGTAGAGATCACCTAGAAAAGTTTTAAAAAGGAGGGAAAAAAGATAGTCCCTACCCACCGACACTATTTCTTCCAGGACTGAAATAGGAAACACAACATTGTTTCCCTAGGCCTTACACTACATTTTTGTTATAACAAAACAGTACATAGGTTTATCAAAAAACTGTTTGATACTATGCAGGTAAACAGAAAGTTGAAAAAACTCCATCCCAAACGTACCGATTCTGTCTTCTTCTGGGATGTTCATGATCTTCATGGCCTCGACGGTGTCCTGGAACTCCTGGGCATCGTCCACTCCTGGGACGGGGACGTAGCCATTGCTAAGGAACGTGTAGAACTTGGCATCCTCGATCAGCAAGTCCTCTGTGATGTGGGGGGAAACACAAGTGGTTAGTCTGCAGTGTTAAGAAATACCCATCTGCAGTCTCAGGGCTCGAAATACTGGGTGCATGTGCACCTTTGTGCACCCAATTTTATTCTGTGGGTGCACCAGTGCACCCAAATATTTTTGTAGGTATTTTTGTACATATAAAATGTATAATAATAGTATGCAGGATATTCTTGGCATACTAATATCAGAAAGATAACAAAATCTCTGTTGTAAGATAGCCCCCATTTCAGATTCAAGCTCAGAAGAGGAGCGGTAAGACCTGTATGCACTATTTTTTTTATGTTTTTCAAAAATATCTTTTTCAGGTCACAAAAATGATAACAGAGCAGTGCAGATCAACTGGACGCCCATCCAACACACAAGAAATGCAATACTCTGCTACTCACTCTTCAGCTGTGCATTGGCTCCCTTCAGTAACTGGTAGTAGATATGGAATGTTCTTTCGTTGGGTGCCTGACGGATACAACGAGCCTTTTCAAGCAGATCTGAACACACGAGTCAAGGAAAAAACCTTGGTATACAACAACAACAGGTGATAGGCAATGATACCTACACAATGTAGAATGAACAAGGTCTCTAACTTCATCCACTAATGCTAGATTCACAAAAACTGCTTTTTTTACAATCAGAAGACCAAGTTATCTTGAAAAGCTTTGACAGTATTTCTATATATGCCAAATTGTGTAACCACTGAGAAGCTATACTACTGGAAATATCTGTATATATGATTACAGAAATAACAATAAAACAACAGTACTGCATCATAAAGGCCGCAATACACAATAAAGATGTTGATATCAGAGAAGGATACATGTCTCGATGCTGGCGCCAGCAAGGTACCCTGACATGTCAAAGTTGATACGGATGAACTTGCCCTGTGGGAAACAATGTTTGAAGGTGAGGGAGGATCATCACTGATCCAACAGAGACTTAGTAATGCCTCCGAACCAAGAGTAATAATTATGCTACATCACTACAATATCATTATCATCCTCAAAATCATCATCCTTACTTTGAAACAATTCTTGTGACACTCTACCCCACATTCCACGGTCCTAGAGATATCGAAATCCTCAGATGCACCTTTCATAAACATGTTCATTATACACATGCAATTTTGAATACAACCCCCTGTATCTGATCAAGTTGTTTTTCTAGCCTAGGATATCTTTCTTACACTTTATACTGTAAATTTTCCAATCAAAGACAGCATCTCATCAAATGCTACACCCTTTCATAAACTTTTTAATAAGCGAGCAGATGGCATAAAAAGGAAAAATACTTACAAATCGTGACGAGTTGTCATTTTTGACAGTTTTGGCATTGCCAAAGGACTCCAGGATGGGGTTGGCCTGTAGCAGTTGAGTCTCCAGCTCTCCCTGTTGGTGGTAATTATGCCTGTCAGTGCCCTGTAGGGCAGCCAGGCAAGAAAAAAACAAGGTTATTTTCAACTGACTTCCATCAGGGTAATTCCCATTTCTTTACACAGTAGAGGGGGGAGATGTAAAATGTACATTTGTAGTCTCCAGAGTTGCTGTTGCCAAAATGTAAAAATTTGGATCAATCATAGAATCAGACAAACACAGAACTTGTAATAATGCAACAAGTGATGGTTGGATCTCTGGAAACTGAAACAATGATTAACAAATTGATGCTGAAATGGCAATGAAAAAACTTTTTTGTGTTTTTGGCTTTGTTGGTTATTGATTTTTAAGAAAGTGAAAGAAGAGAGGTTTGAAGAATCAGGGCCCATTAAGAAGTTGGGCCATGGTCTCAAGAAGTGACAACACCATGCACAACAATATTACTCAAATGAGTAATTTTAATGGAGAAATTATGTTGTTGGAAGAGGAGAAATGTCAGAGAAAGTGTGTGGTTTGGTTGTGATTTAACGGAACAAGTGGTAAACCACAGTGTTGTTGGCTGCTGGGAAACCCGTCAGCCATTCTCAACTTCTGAGATGGAAGTCATTTGAGGTAACCTGTCAACAACAGAAGAGATATCGGAATTAGACGTGCAAAAATTCAAAATGATCTTTTATTAGTTCTTCATCAGGTTATCAGCAAAAATGCAAGCAGCAGGCTTCATAACAGTTAGTAAGCTGAAAGGAGAGGAAAAAATTGCATTATATATAATTTATTAAAAGTTAAACTAAGGATCATATATGATTAACATAATGTTAAAGATCATTTGTAATCATCACTGATTGACTGAATTTTAAGTCTTAGCAAAATAAGCAGGCGACAGGCATTTAAGAAATAAGAGAACCCTCCACCAACCACCAGCGAGGCATTATCGAACCAAGCAGAGCATTTTACGTTTGACATACAGAGAAGAAAAGGAAGAAAAAGACTAGGCCAGGCTATGGCTCTGTACTTACTAACATGTAACCAACCCCATACTTAGACGTGAGCATGAAAAGAGACACCGGGGGAAGAGTTAGCATCAGATCAAGTACGATAAGGGTTCTAGTACATCAACAGACTTGACACAGCGATTTGGCACCAAGAAATCTTGTTATCAGTAGTGCATGACAGGAAGAAACATTGGGAATTTTGCAATAGAAAGTTGGTGAAAATTCCTTCACCAGAATGGTGAATGGTACAGGAAAGGTTGATGACATTATCTGTTTTGCACCTCCATATTATTCTGCCACCGCATTTATAAACTTCTGCTTGAAGAGTTTGGTAGAAACAAATTCAAGTGCTGTTCTTGCATACGTCCAACATGTTGCAATCGTCCAAAACGCTCTTTTTTAAATCAATGATAAATTTACAGAGAACAGCCGCTCTGAATTCCATCTACTTTCAGATACAAACAAAAGGCAGTTTGAATGTGTGGAAAAAAATGTGAATGTAACATTTTCTTGATTCTTGGAAATTCTGCAAAAAAGTTGGTTCACATCGGCATATAACTTCACGGTACACACAAAATACACAAGACAAAGCAAGGTTCATATGAAGTCTGCTAGAAAATGAAGCGTTAAATATAGAAACATCACAGTTCAGCACAGCTAAAATAGATGGAAAAACAAAGGATTAATAGGGATGAAAATTGTTTGTTAAATCTTCTACGGGATACTATACATATTAAGATACAACATAGCACTTTTGAGGTGGGTACAGTGTTTCAGTGGGGGCTGGACTGTACGGGAAGGGGCTTGTATCATCAGTAGTATGTTTATACCACAAGGAAGGGGGAGGGGGGAAGGCACTTTGGCACAAGTGAGTTTGGGGTTGGTTAACTGGCAAAGAGCAAGCTGCTATCGACTCTTACAGCATGCTACTTTACAGCTAGCTACCCATGAAGGAGAGGCCACTGCACGCCAACTTAGCCAGAAGACGCAGCGCCCAGTAGGGTCTACTTACCGCGTCCTTAGTCAGATACACACCCTGTAGTATTGGTGTGAGCAACACCGGGAGGGGGACGGTGAGAAATGCGGAGAGGACAAAAGTGCTTGTAAATTTGGTCAACAGTGAAAACACACATCTACCATCTAAACATGCAAAAATTCACAACATGTAATGGAGTAAAAGCACACAAGTGACTCTACACTACAGGTGATTTTTAAAAAGCTGCAACTGTTCTCTAACAGTACATGCTTTGTTTGCTTACAGGCTAATATATTGTTGGAGCTTTTTCTTGGTGACAAAGCAAGTCAAACATTACATGTATAGTAGCACAGAGATGACTCAAGCAGTGCTATAGATATGCCTAGTTACATGCACAGTGATTCAGCCTGAGTAACCAGTGACTGAGGTCTTACAGTGCAGTGGACTACTGACTGTGCAGAAATACTAGCACTGCTGTTGGACATGACTGTCAGCACAAAATGATACAATGCTCGAATGAGAGAGACAGACATACAGACATGTCATCATTTCCAGCAAGATGAGTAAAATATACTGTGAGCAACTTGGCCAAACATTTTGATTCAGTACTGTAAGTCAAAATTATACTTTCATTAATAGAACACTATAAGGCCTACACATCTGGAGTTAGCATGTGTAATATCTGGTTTAAATGATAAAAATGTCAATACAAATATTTAGGTATTTTGGGACTAAAAAGAACTTGGAAGCTGGAAATGATGGCACATCCCTGCCCCTACCATAGTCCTGCAGCATTTAATCCAAGCTACTGCCTCTTCAGCAATACTGTACACACACAAGCTGTAACCACATAATGAAAACATCCAGAACAGAAAACAACACAGGTACAATACCACTATGGACGTCTGATGCCATCTCAAAGCTCACAAGCCAGTGTTGCACAGCTTGCTTGCGAAGAGAAGGGAACCTTAACTTACATGGACACCGCGAACGGCAGAGGAACTTACATGTGGACCGTGCAGGTTGGACGTGGATTGGGACTTGCCGCCTTTGCTTCCCGCCGGCGCGGCCGCCACGTATGCCAGATACTGGATGACCTTCTTGGTGTTCTCTGTCTTGCCAGCGCCAGACTCCCCTCTGAAGTACGCAGAAACACATTCGTGAGCTGTGTGCTCTCTTAACACATGTTACAGACTTCCAACGGCACAGGGTCATAATATCAAACAACACTGAGCACATCAAAACATTCTGCAACTGGAAAAACTTTAATAAAAACAAGTCACATTTGTCTTTATCATAGATCAGGTATGAAGTTATGAAAGCAAACAAGGATACAAAAATACATGCTCTTTTAATTGGCTTGTGAAATTTTACTACATGTATACTGGATGGATGTAAAATATAAGGCTGGAAGTTATATCAGAATTCCCCAGTACTTTCTACCTTTGATATGGCAAGTGTTATTTCACTAGTTGACAGTTCTAAGCCATACTAACTAACAAAGTTAGGAGTGGGTATTTTTGTCACAATACTGGCGCCAATGCAACATTTGCAATGCCTCAATAAACAACCCCCCAACCATTGTTATCTGGTTACTAGGTTTTCTCCAGGTAACTCATTAACAGCTGTGTATACTTTTGTAAAAAGCCATGTTACACATTCGTCCATATAAATGTCAAGCTTCAATTCTTCCAAATTGCAACTAAACAGACAGAAAGACTATCCGCACTTCCGTTTTTATCTGTACCTTTATCGATTGAATACCACTGTCACCATCAGATCTCTATCACTGTATTGTACATGACAGCGACGGTGGCCATCTTTGATGACAGCGTTCATTATTATGATAATTCATCTATTTTTGTTCAAGGTCTTTTCCATCTGTCCTAGATATCAAAAAACATGTTTTTTTCTTAAATAAATAACTAATACTAATAGATGGTCATTGCTATTTCAAAAGTGTACTAATATAACCAGACTTTATAATAATATAACCAGATCTTTTAGTCTAAGGTTTCAATAATACAGTACTCATATCTGTTCTTTTGAGCATAACACATACCATCTAAAACATTACCAATTAGTCCAACCAAGCTTGAAGCTTAACAGCTATTTGGCATGTCATCTTCAAGTAATTTTACCCCATAAAAATATCATATAACACGCCCACGATGACCTTGCATAATGTCTGTAGTGGCATGCTTGTAGTTGGGACTAGCTCTGTTCAATCTCACACCTCCTGAACCAAAGCAAACTCTGACATGTTCCCTTCCAAATTGATCTATTCACATGTCAGAAATACCAGAGAAATCCAACCCATCTGTCCAAATAGGCCATCAAAGGAGGCTTTGTCTCTCATGAACTTGCCAAGCTTTAACACAGGCCGACCTAACCCAATTAAGGGTTCATAATCAGACCAACGACTTTATTAAAATCTTCACGAACAAATCTTTGCCTCACTGAACCATACAAAACTTTGCCTCCCTGAACCATTTAACATTTAAAGGTCTGATGCCCACAGGTCAATCTTTACTTGAACAACAACTTCAATACTTCAATTATAATAAATAGTGCAGCTTATTGTTTGAAATAGTCATGTAAGGTATGAACTATTGACAACAATGCCATGTTCTATACTAGCAGATGCATATCCTAAGACACATTTTTCTGCATTTTGCAACACACACAAAATCCAACAAAAGGATATGGGTGGACCTTTCGTGGTCTTTACATACATGGTCAATTTAATACTGATAAAATTATGAGTGCTGAAAACACGTGTGAACCAGTAACAACTTGTTTTGCTACTAAAGTGTCCAGTGGTGTGACCCAACTTTGTTCCCCAAGTTGGTTTTAATTTCAATCTCTACTCTTTTGTGTCAACACCTTGGGAACTTTAATCATGAACAGTTTGGACAAGCAAGGGTATCAGGATTAAATGGAATGGAAGCCATGGATAACAAAGTGCAGTCTAATATGAAACAAATGTCTTTTGGCTCCAGTGGCCCTGGTCCAGACAATTTGAGGTGACACTGAGAAAAACATGCACTGTTGAGACTTCAGTCATGGCATAGGGCACATGCCTGGAACTTATACATCATCGCAATATTAACTTTTGAGCAGATCAGAACTTGGCTACCTGGCAAGAGATTGGATACTTTGTCTCCTTGTTGGTATCAGTAGAAAGCAGGTTTGTATATTTCCATTCACATTGTAATCAAAGCCTTGCTGTACATGGGTCACCCTCATGCAAACACTGTGACCTCCAGTCCATTCCTATGCTGTGGATTTGTTCTTCATAAGTTGTGATGTTTGTTTCCTTGGCAAGTTCTTGCTGCAAGCAAAACATTGTCCAGCTCTGTCAATCTGACTTGGTCTTCAACACACTTAAACCTTACACCAGATGAAAGACAATATGACATACACATATTAATATGCCATCTGCCCTGTATGACTTCTTTTTACCAACCTTAGAATTGCCCTACTCAGTCAATCTGGCTTGGTCTCTATTGTACACAAGAACTGACCTTATACCAGATGTGACAAATACAGATATGCTTGTATCAATACATCACCCACTCATATAAACATTTTATCAACCTTGCCATCTATCCCTCTGTCAATCTGGCTTGGCCTTAGGTACACATAATCTGATGTCATACCATATGTGACAAATATGTGATATTGTATTTATATATCCTGTTAGTACACTTTACATGCGACCTTCTTACCAACTTGAACAACTCCTGTCTTTACTTCCCTGTGAAATATTATCTGTCACTCCCCGATCTTTCCTCCAGTAAACACAGGTATAGCTTCACTTGACACAATAGAGGGCAGTCTTCCCCTTTCAACCCCAGAATACCAGCAGATCTCTTGCTTACAGACTGCATGTTTCACACAGGCAGGGCAGCCCGGGGCACAAAGGCCCCCTAAAAGCAAGTCAGGACCTTTGAGGTATTTGTTGACATGTTTCTGGTTTGCATTTGTCTTCTCCATTTCTTGACTTCTGTATCCCCCCATGCTGGTGTGACCCTACAGGTAAGGCATACCTGAATGAGAACCCAAGCTGAGTGATGATCAACTAGCTGTGATAAGGAGGGGTGTTGTTTAGATAGGAGGTGGCAATTATGGCAAATTACCTTGCTGGTTAGGGGAGGAGCCATTTAACCACAGTGTTTATACTATCAAATGAGTGGCTGTGGGACCAATAACTCAGTCAGTGGGGTGCAGGACAGTTTGTATCTATGGTATTTATACACCTTGAGTAATGGGACTTTTAACGCTTTCTTGATTCATTGATTTATGAAGTTTTTCTTCTTTCTAGTTCAAGATTGAAATAGCATACCAGAATTGTAGAAGAATTAGTATAGAAGATCTTATTTCCCTGAAAAAAGTTCATCCTCAAACAATGAAAATCTAAATGTGGTAATAAGTAATAGAATACCCTAATAGGGTGTTAGTTTTGGAGGCCTCTTCAAGACATACCAGAGGGACTGTCAAAGTGCAGGTGTTCCTTCTTAAAATCCTCACATCCAGGTCAGAGTTCAGTAGGCCTGGTGTAAGTCTGTCATCGCTAGAGTCTGGATCTTGTGTCCATTATACAACAGACAGTCGAGGCAGTTTTCACACCAAATATTACAAGAATAGCTATATCTATGAATTTCTTTTGGCCCCCCCACAAAAAGAGAAGAAATATTACTTAAGGCTCAAGAGACTAAGCGTACCTCAAAGTATGAACATTAAACAGCTATAACATATCAATGATGGCTGACCTTGCCTCTTAATTTCTGGGGGGTCACCTAAGCTAAGTGAACTGTGGCTGCAAAAAGCCAGAGGTGAAAGTTCAGCATTAACAACAACACTCCACAGTTAACAATTCTATTCACAGTCCTCTGAGCCTGGACCATACCTACCGGTATGTTTCTTTCTCAATCAATGACTACATTTAATTTTTTGGATGAGCATATAAATACTGACACTGTAAAATTTCAGTGTTGGAAGTATGTACATCTATAAATTATATAAGTGGGAATCTTTTCAATCTGGCATCTTGCATATTCTGAGAGAAAGGATGAAAAAGACCACAAATCCAGGGATGTAAGTTTTAATTTGAGAAACTTTCCAAGGGACCAAACTGCTGTCCACAGTGGCATTCAGAATGATGGTAGCAGGATTAACTCCACATTTTGCCATTTTCTGGTTTGCCCTCAGAAAACAGTACAGTCTGTTCTACTGCAAAGAAAACATGGGAAACATTACTCCCAGTTCTGTGTCACTGCACAAACACTCCCCTGTCACTGCTGTTTGCTTGGCTGCCCTAAATAGAGACGAGCATCTCCTGCTAAAAGGTGCCCACTGCCAGAAAACAATGTCTACCTTTTACAGCACACAACAAAGGTACTTTCACCGGCCTGCTATAGAAGCTACCTGACACGGCATGGAAGACAACCCAAGTGTTCTACTATGGCTTCCATTACTTGTGGTGAAAGGCAACCTTTTGACACCACATGCCATCTGATCCAAATGTTACAACTCCTGCAGCAGGCTACATCAACCTTACTATGTCTCCATCCTAACTAAACAATTCATTAGAATTTCTCAGCTAACATGTTCTACCAACGTATAACGATGGCATGGAATACGTCCAGCCTTGTCGGACTCTTTGCAATGCTCTAAAAGCAAAGAGAGCTGACGAAAGTGCATTATAGGATTAAGATTAGGTCTGCTCCTTCTCCAATTCTGGCCCAAACTCTGAAATTAAAGATGGTACCATGGATAGATAGGCTAAGACCCTGGCAACACAGCAGCTATGCTAAAAGCCGGTGCCTCCACCTCATGTTGGGTTACAAAAATGACTCTCCCCCAGGACTCCATTATCAGCCAGTTATCAAGTTCATTAAGCTTAAAGGCCCATGGCCAGCGCTCCCATATGAGAGTGTTTGCATGACAAGTTTCCCTAGACACTTGGAAGTCTGGGTAAACATGGGAGAGAGAGGGCGTTAGTGAGGGAAAGGGATTCAGCAAGCTGCCTTGCCAGTGAAATATCTTACTTTTAAATCCTTCAAGGTAAAGTCATGTTCACAAAACACACAGTAAGAAATACAATTTCCTGTCATATCTAGCTGCTTCCTCCG